AGTCAAAGAAAGTTGTCGTTCCCTCGAATGCCATCAGTCGAGTGATAGGACGCGGAGGTTGTAATATAAACGCGATTCGGGAGGTGTCGGGCGCTCACATCGAAGTGGAGAAACAGAAGGGCCAGGGCGACAGAATGGTCATCATTAAGGGCTCGGCCGACGCCACGAGACACGCCCAGCAACTGATCGCCGCTCTCTCCAAAGAGACTGAGAAGGATTTGTCCGAAATTATTAAGTCTATGGGTTTGAATCGACCCACAAGTGTCAGCAGCGATGAAATTATCTCAACCCGTAATCACAGCAAAAACCAGAGCACAGCAGTCATCGGTTCGACAGCACGTCAACAGTCGACTACAGTCTCCAATGTTCTGAAATCTTCATCCATGGGCTCTGTTTGCACCACCAGTTTGTCCTCAAACATGACTACTTTTACGAACCGGTCATCAATGTTGGTCAGAACATCCGCTCCCATCACACAGTCGTCTCCATTTGTGAACGCGTGGAACACCAGAAATACCGGTTCCACTCGAATGCCTTCTACAACCTCTTTGCCGGTGTCCACGACTCAGCACTTGACATCACAACCCGTGACCACCAAATCGACCGTTTCGTACACAATGGCAGTGGCGGCCAAAGGCAAGAACACGAAGACCACATCCATTTCGAATANAGACGAGATATGGCCGCCCGAAGAGGCAAACGTATTGCCGCCGCGCGTGAGAAGCAAAAGCAGTCGCGGATCAAGAAGGAAGAGGCCAGGAATGCACCGCCGAAGGTGTGGACACCCACTAAACTCAAGATCGACAAGTCGTATGAATTGATCCAATGTTTGCTGTGTTTGCTGTCATATCAATCATTAATTGCTGGTCTCTATTGCATGTGTGTTGTGAAGTGCCCTAAACGTCGGCCCCCGAAGATTCACAGACGACCACTTGAAAGACTTGGACTCACTTATGGACGACGTCTATATCACTAAATTATATAAACAAAAGGCTTATTCATTGGTCGAGGCGTTAGACATGCATCGGGAGACACACCACAAGACAATCCTCAACGAACCCAATGCTGTCGTCGAGACCACTATTGAACTCGACTTAAGGACCAAAAAGAAGACCAAATTTTGCGACAATTTTAAAGGGATTATGTCTTTTCCAAACAAATTCCCGTTTAAAGTGAACCGAAGAATAATAGCCATCTGTAAGAAGGAAGAGGACAAACACGACGCTAAGGAGGCGGGCGCTGATGTGGTCGGAGGCGTGGAGATCATCAAAATGCTGCAAAAGGGCGACCTATCGATGGGCCACTTCGACGATCTCGTCTGTCACGGAGATCTGTTGGTCGAGTTGGCGGCCATTCGGGGACTACTAATGCAAGCGTTTCCCACCAAATTGAGGGGCAATTTGGGTTTCGATATGAAAAAACTGGTCAATCAATTCGTAACCGGAATTGAGTACAAATTAGTGAAAGACGATTTGGAGCTCGACTACGGGTGGGTTCGGCTTCCGTTCGGGCGTTTCGATATGGATAACAAACAGTTGGAACAGAATTTCCGATTTGTTTTGTCCACAATTGAAAAGCATAAGCCCTCCACCAGTTTAGGTATTCATGTTTTCTATTCATTGCCAGTAATAACACTATTGTTAACACATGTTTCCTCTCAGTTCCGTTCATAACACGAGTTCTCATACAAAGCGAGTCATCAAAGGAAGAGTTTGCGACCAAATTTGCCGATTATATCGAAGGTTACGACGAAGAGAGCGATGAGGACACGGATGACAACGACAGCAAACAAGATGTCAAAGAGTTGTCTTCACTTTAGAGTCAAATATATGCCATCAGTAATAAAAGAGTCATTAATTAAATTCATAATAAATGGAAACCGATTTATAACTAAAATCAAAAGCAAAAAAGTCAATCAATCGATTGAATAATAAATCAATTGACAAAATATACAACCGATTAAATTATAATTAATTTTTGTCATTAAAAACAAAATTGAGGTTTTGTTATGAGAATTAACATAAAAGTCATTTAATCAATATTACAACCGAATTAAAGAGTCGGTCATAGAATCTAATAATTATAGAAAATTTAGTTTATAATGCAATTCAATAGTCAATAGATTCAACGTATTTCTAATCAATTCATACCATTTAATAGTTTTTGTTGGCGTTTATAATATTTATAATAATTAACAATAATATATGTTTGCATTCATTCTATAATCACTCACTGAACAGAATTCAATGCATTTACACAATCGTTGCATCGATTCGTTCGTTTAATATATGTATTGATTATCGTATAGTTTATGACATATTATCCCAATTCGATTGTGACAGACATTTGTCACGTCTGATGGTTCCAGTGATTCCAGTTCTAAAGCCATGAGAAACACACTTTAGTGGGCCATTCACTCAACACTAAGCGCTTATCGGACTCACCATTTTCTGATCGCCATTCGCCGCATTCTGAGACACATTGTTATCCATTGCCACCGAAGATAACGACCCTATTTTCGAGTTCCAATAATCGGTGTCTTGAGTCACATTCATCGCGGGGTTGCTTAACATCGACTGATAGTGAGCAGAGGACAGGTGTTGTGGCACTCCATTCATTCCCATTACCGGCAAACCGGACGCCGAATAGTTGAGTGAATTACTCGCATGAGAGCCAACATTCATCTGAATTTATATTTAAAAATAAATATTTAAAATACTGACAATGAATTTATCATTTCATACAACTCTTACCGGAAATGTCGAATCGAAATGCGAAACGTCGTCGGAATTGAACCGATTCTGACTGATAGCAGACATTGAATTATCGGTCATTAGATTCGACGAATGGATGTTTGGGTTCAACTGTTGCTGCGATTGCATCCACTCATTCATATCATTGGGCATCACTTCGCACCCGAACGGCCACAACGAGTCATTGGCATTCATGTTAGACAATGAATTCATTTGGGAGTAAACATTTGGGTTTGGATTTTTTCGTTGAGCCCTTTCGGTGCCGATAGGACGGGGCAGTTGTCGGCGCTCCTCATAGTCGGTGTTTGACTCCATCTCTTTCTGAACGGCCATCGCATTGATTGACGTCTGCGAGAGTCTCGACTGTTGCTGTTGTTGTTGTGGTAAATAATTGTTGGCCTGCATTACACCGAAGTGTTGCATTCCATGGGCCGGATTCGGGGCATTCGGTAAGCTATTGATAGCCGTATGCAATAGGCGTAGTGTTTCTGGAGAGGGCGGCGGAGTGTTGGTTCCGAAGTCATTGGCGGCCAAATGGCTGTTATGGTTGGCCGCGATTTGCATGCGTACGGCCTGTTGTTTCTGCAATGTCTGCAACTGAAGGTTCGCAGAGGCGGCCAAAAAGGCGGCCCTCATCTGATCCTGAAGAACAATGGCTGCGTTTGGCGACGAGTTTGTCCCAGAATTGTCTCTCGAAATGCGCTTTTGAGGCGTAAGTGACGGCCCATTCATCTGATGAGACGATTGCATAATTGATACCCGAGTGGAGAAGTCCGGTGCGTTTGGGTTGAGGTTACTTTGGATGGCATTATTGGTGTTCTGAAGCCCAAACACCGGTTGGTTCTGTTCGTTACTCATTTGCATTGTGTGGACAGTGCCTACAGACGGGAGCGGAGTATTCTGGGTGTATGTCGTGTTTGTCACGTATGTGTGCCTCTGCGGCACATTCATTGTCGATGACATGTTATAACTCTGAGATTTGATAGCATTTGAGACATTAGACTGTAGATTGGGATTGAGTTGTGTTGACTGAAGGAGCGGTTGATACGATGTCACCGACGAGGCAGTGCTAACTGAGTTTACGTTCAACTGATGACTTGGAGAGGGATTACCACTTATTGGAGACAAATTCGACTCATTTGTCATCGAAAACATCTGATTCTGTGGATCAGTCATCGAACGGCTGTTCTGGATGTGTGTGTTCTGTGGCGGAGGAGGAGTGGGGGTTCCCGACAGGGGAGGGGTTGTCATCATTTTGGAAACGCTCGACGGTGTGAGCGGACCGGTGTTGGAGATGAGCGGTGGAGTGCAGGGCGCGCTTCTGGCGTGACCGCTGCCGATGGGACCCAAATTAGAATTGCCCGACGAGGACGAGGGCGTCGACGATAGCGACACATTGCTGGGCGATATGTGAAGGTTTCCTCTATAACCCGGAGCTTTGCTCGCGTCTATCGATAACTCTTTCTGTGAATTCTGTTGGATTTGCAGACCTAATGCTGTCGACAAACTGTTGGATTGGTTTTGGTTGGAAGCGATGGAAGTGAGACCAGAGGCGGCAACACTGGCGAAGTTTGGTTTGTTGTCTTTGGACTGTCCCCATACACTCGATTGCGCCACTTTACTGAACAGGTTGTTAAACGGCGTGTATTCGGGAGTTGTGGCCGACGGAGGCTTATCGTCCTCTGCGGCGACAGAAGTGGTGGTCTTTGTTGGCGATTGCGCTGTCGTTACGGTTTGAAGGCTATTGAATGGCTGTTTGGTTGTCGGCAAATATGATGTATTCTTGATTACCACTTATTGGAGACAAATTCGACTCATTTGTCATCGAAAACATCTGATTCTGTGGATCAGTCATCGAACGGCTGTTCTGGATGTGTGTGTTCTGTGGCGGAGGAGGAGTGGGGGTTCCCGAGAGGGGAGGGGTTGTCATCATTTTGGAAACGCTCGACGGTGTGAGCGGACCGGTGTTGGAGATGAGCGGTGGAGTGCAGGGCGCGCTTCTGGCGTGACCGCTGCCAATGGGACCCAAATTAGAATTGCCCGACGAGGACGAGGGGGTCGACGATAGCGACACATTGCTGGGCGATATGTGAAGGTTTCCTCTATAACCCGGAGCTTTGCTCGCGTCTATCGATAACTCTTTCTGTGAATTCTGTTGGATTTGCAGACCTAATGTCGACAAACTGTTGGATTGGTTTTGGTTGGAAGCGATGGAAGTAAGACCAGAGGCGGCAACACTGGCGAAGTTTGGTTTATTGTCTTTGGACTGTCCCCATACACTCGATTGCGCCACTTTACTGAACAGGTTATTAAACGGCGTGTATTCGGGAGTCGTGGCCGACGGAGGCTTATCGTCCTCTGCGGCGACAGAAGTGGTGGTCTTTGTTGGCGATTGCGCTGTCGTTACGGTTTGAAGGCTATTGAATGGCTGTTTGGTTGTCGGCAAATATGATGTATTCTTGACGCCATTAGAGTTGTTGGGAACGGGAACGCGAGCGCCGGTAAACATTTGGTGGCTAAACGGCTGAACGCCCTGCGGAGCACCGGTTGGACGCAATTGGTTTGTCATTTGGGGAGTGGATGTGGGCTTCATTTGAGTTTCGTGTTTCACTTCAGCGCTCGATATAACCTTAGGAATGGCGGTAATAATATTCGAAATGGATGTGGTCTTCGTGTTCTTGCCTTTGGCCGCCACTGCCATTGTGTACGAAACGGTCGATTTGGTGGTCACGGGTTGTGATGTCAAGTGCTGAGTCGTGGACACCGGCAAAGAGGTCGTAGAAGGCATTCGAGTGGAACCGGTATTTCTGGTATTCCATGCGTTCACAAATGGAGACGACTGTGTGATGGGAGCGGATGTTCTGACCAACATTGACGACCGATTCGTAAAAGTAGTCATGTTTGAGGACAAACTGGTGGTGCAAACAGAGCCCATGGATGAAGATTTCAATACATTGGAGACTGTAGTCGACTGTTGACGTGCTGTCGAACCGATGACTGCTGTGCTCTGGTTTTTGCTGTGATTACGGGTTGAGATAATCTCATCGCTGCTGACACTTGTGGGTCGATTCAAACCCATAGACTTAATAATTTCGGACAAATCCTTCTCAGTCTCTTTGGAGAGGGCGGCGATCAGTTGCTGGGCGTGTCTCGTGGCGTCGGCCGAGCCCTTAATGATGACCATCCTGTCTCCCTGGCCCTTCTGTTTCTCCACTTCGATGTGAGCGCCCGACACCTCCCGAATCGCGTTTATATTACAACCTCCGCGTCCTATCACTCGACTGATGGCATTCGAGGGAACGACAACTTTCTTTGACTTTCTCACCACTTCTTTCCAGCCTTCCTCTCGCTTCTGACCCTTCTTTGTTTGGTTGGCGTTCGACGGCTGAGCACTAGTGGCGCCTCCTTTAGAGGCCGAATAGTTTGGACTTCGATTGGATGCAGAACTCGAAACATTTGTATTCATCTCAACTGTCAATTCGCTGAATCTGTTAATGAAAATTACATTCCTATAGAATTGATACAAATGTCAATATTAGTGGCAAAACTCACATATCAGTCGAATGTCTATGAGATGAATGATCGCTAACACTCTTCTGAACATTCTTCTGAGAAACCGATGAATTCTTAGAAACATTGGATATATTGCTTGAATTTGATCTCAAAACAAGTTTTTCTTGAGTAGAATCGCTATCACTTGGGATGGAATCGTTAGTCTTCTTGTTCTTTGCATTCGTTGTATTCATGGGTTGTTGTGTCGACTTCTTTGTTGTTGTGTTTGCATTCACGTGATTCGTTAGATTAGAATTATTGGATGCTTTCCTCTGCCTTTCAGTCTCTTTTGGCGAAGGTTTGCACTTCTCTTCAACCGTTACTTTCGTCGTTTGGTTGGGTTTCTGTTTCACCTCTTTGGACACCTCTTTGGGCGCCACAACTGGAAGTGGCGGTGGAATCACTTCAACGACCACATCGTCGTCGTCGTCGTCCTCATCATTAGAGTCGTCGTCATCGTCATCGTCGTAGTCGTCCTTCAGTTTGCTTTTGTCGTCATTGGATCCCTTTGTGGGCACTTTCAACAACTCTTGTTTCTCTTTCTTCTTAATGCGCTTCCGTTCGCGACGTCGAGCGGCGGCCGCTTTGCGGTGCTCTTCGCGAGTCCTCTCCAAATCAATCTCTTCTAAAAGAATGCTCGCATTCTTGTTGGCCTCCGCCGCCTGTCTTTCCTTCGCCTGACGCAGTATTTCCGCGCATTGGTTCGTCTTCTTCAACAACTCCTTGTCGTTAATCAATGCAATAAAACGCGTGATTTCCTGATCGGCCGGGAATTGGTTCACGTGTTTAACCATCCATTTGACAACTTTCACGTGTCCCTTACGGAAGGCCGACATAAGACACGACACTTTGCGGTTGTCTTGACTGTCAATATCACAACCGGCGTTCACGAGAAGCTGTACGACATCCAGATGTCCGCCATTGCAGGCCAACCAAAGGGGAGAATTGCCTTTTTTGTTCTTCACGTCGACGATTGCACCTCTGGTCAGAAGTAGTTCAACAAAACGATAGTGTCCTTTGTCTGAGGCTATGGTTAATGCCGTGTCCCTCGACGAGGGGACAGGCGTTGCATTCACATCAGCGCCTTTGTCTAATAGGACGCGTCCCACTTCAACATAACCCCCGGACGCGGCTTCCATTAATGGCGTTAAACCCGTTTTGGCTCTGTGTTCAACATTGGCCCTCCTGTCCAACAGGAGACCCACCACTTCACACCTTCCCTGAAAACAGGCCAGAGTTAGGGCAGTGTTACGGTTGGTCTCGATTTGAGCGTTAATATCGCTGCCCATATCGAGCAGGAGCTTAACAGTGGCCGCGTGTCCGTTCATAGCGGCCAACATTAGGGGCGAAATTCCCAGTTTAGAACCGGTGCGCGAATTGATTTCAGCACCATGACTCAACAACAACTTTATGATATTCACGTAACCGCCCGACGCGGCCAGACTTAGCGGCGTGTAGTCCGAAACGTTGCGGTGCTCTTTGTTGGAGCCGCGAGAGAGCAGTATCTCCACCACTTCGAAGCGACCGCTGGAACAGGCGAGCGATAGTGCCGTGTCTTTGGTCCTCTCGGACTGGGCCTCCATATCCGCGCCATTGTTTAACATAATCTCGACAACATTCAGGTGTCCGGCAGTGGCGGCCAACATGAGTGGCGTGAATCCCTTCTTGTCTCTGTGTTCCATCTCTGCCCCTCTGTTCAGCAACAGTGACACCAACTCTTCGTGACCTCCAGCACAGGCCAGTGTGAGAGCGGTGTCGTGATTGCTATCTGTTTGACAATCTAAGTCTACGGGTGGAAACCACGGCGGAGGCGACGGTATCCTTATGTTCGCTGGCGTTGTCGTAGTTGTGCTCTGAATTGTGTTCTGAAGCAACACTTCTGGTTTACTAGATTTGAGCTTCAAATCCAAGTCATTTGAGTTCCCATTTCCAGACAGAGAGCTGATTGTATTCGTCAGAGCATAAGGGATATGAGTGTCGAGTGAAGACGTATTTGTGTTCACTGTTTGAGACAAAGATGTCGTTATATTAGTTAAAGTATTGGACGAATCGGAGTGAAAATGGCTCATCAAAAGAGGGGACAAATTATTTGAAGCAATCGATGGATCGAATCCAGATGTGATCAAAGGATTGCTTATTTGTGGCGCAGAAGAGACTAAAATAAGGAGACAATAAGTTTAGACATTAATTACTATCAAATGGTAATTTAAAAACGCTTACTTGAAGTAATGTCAGTCGTGTTTGCATTTGTAATCACTGTTTGTGTGTTGCCGTCCACACCATCGGTCGGATATGGGATTGTTGTCGATATAATTGACGTCCGACTCGAGGCAGTAGTTGTCGAAGAAGGAGCGACAGAGACCGGAGACAATGTCAACGAAACGGGAAAAGCTGGCGCTCCCATCGAGTATATGCCACTCGTTGTCGAACCAGAATATACCGCTTGATTGACAAGAGTCGGAGCAGTGGTAGAAGATGTAGATAACTGGCAGAGAAGAGGGTCTGTTTGAGTGGCGGTGGAGGCGGCGGCTGCGAACTGGGTCTTCAATAACATCAACTGTTCGCTCGACAGTGTTTGCAGAAGAGATGTCGACTGTGTTTGTGTCGTCTGATTCATGAGAAGAGAACCAGTGGAAGGCGTCGGGTGTTGAGTGGGCGCCGGTGTTGGCGCCGGAGTTGTAGACGAGACCGAAGTGTTGTCAACTTTGGCCGATTTATTCAGTTTATTAACTTTAGTCGTTATCTGCAAAGTCTTCTTAATGTTGTCATGAATTGAAGTCATGGTCGAGACGTTGGTTTGAATCGATTGACTGGTGGTCTGCGGTGTCGACTGTGTGTTCGGTTGGCTTTGATGTGATTGAATGACAGACGTCTGACTTAACGAGACGTTAGGGTTAAAAAGTCGCGGCAATAAGAATGGAATCGATGGGTCGATCTTCATGTTAGAGGCGGCCGCCTGAAGGAACTGAAGTGTTTCAGGTCTGGTACTGAAATTCTGTGCCAATTCTGATAAAATCATTTGTTGCTGTTGTAGAAGACTTATCTGCGTTTGTTGGCCATCGGCTGAAGGGTTGCTATTATTGGGATCCAAATGTTCCGAATTGATAGTATTTTTCAGATTATTTTTCTCCACTTCTTCTGATGTGAGCGAAGAACTCAAAGACTTTGGAATATTGAGAGTCGTTTGGTGTGTGTGTTGTTTAGAAGAAATACTTTTGATTTTACTGTTGGACCGGAAGCGACGGTTCGCCGGTGGCGTTGATAGAGATATGGGTGTATTCGTCGATGTGTTGATAGTGTTTGTAAATGTTGTTTGTGTCGGCACTGAAGACAAGTTAAGAGACAGGTCTGCGGCCAGTGTTGCCGACGAGGACTGAAAATTAGTGGACTGACTCATAGTAGAAGGCATTTGAAACGGTGTCTCCAATTTAATAGGCTTTTGTAAATTAGAGGCCATTTCCAAACAGACGGGCATTCCTTGAGAGTTGGAAGGAATACCAGTGCTATCGACCGGTATGTTAGCAGAGATTTGCGATAACGAGGGCCCGCACGACAGGCCCGCCTGATAGCACTGAAGTAGCTGTTGCTGCCAATGGGCCTGATATTCGCGTTCAACTCTTTGCAATTCTTCCAGTATTTGTTGTTTTTGACGAATCTGTTCCTCTTTTGCCGGATCTAATTCGTCAGTTCTCCGAATCATATCATTAATCCTCGCTTCGAGTCTTTCGGCCTCTTTGAGAGCGTCAATACTTGAGAAGGCCGTCGACTCCATAACGCTTGGGTTTGGAGGTGTGGTCGACGAGACGCCGCTGTCAGAGAGACTTCGTTCCAACACTTTGTTAACTGTGCGTCCCTTCGAAAAGGAGACATAACTATCGGAGGAATCGGTGCCTTTGTTTGCCGTCATATTCACTGCGTTATTATCTTTGGAAATATTTTTCTTTGATATCGATTTTTGAAAATTTAATTTCGATTGAAGTGAAGAAATGGAAGAATGCGTTCGACTGGAAGTGTCCTCGAGTTGAAGGCCGTGAGGAGGAATGCGTGGCGTTGTCTCGGCATCGGCTGACGCATTCAGAGGGGGTGAGGGGGCCATCATATTCGTGGGGTAATCGATCAACAGTTGGACAACAGTCGTGTGTCCGCCTTTGGCCGCCTCTATAAGCATAGTTGAGCTGTCCTTAAGACGATGTGTTGGATCAGATCCGTTGGCTAACAGTAGCTCAACGACGGCGAGGTGTCCGCCGGCGCAGGCGAGCGATAGGGGCGTGTGATCGTTGTTTGTCGTCACTTTGTTCACGTTTGAACCCCTATTCAGAAGGAACTGAACGGTACAGAGATGTCCGGCGCGCGCGGCCTTCATCAGCGACGTGCGGCCGCCCTCTGCCTCGTGCTCTAAGTTAGCTCCGGCCTGAAGCAAGAGTTCGGCCACATCTGTGTGTCCGTTCTCACAGCCGTACATCAGTGCGGTGTCACCAGAACTGGTCGTCGCGTTCACATTAGACCCACAATTGATGAGATGGCGCACCAGATCCAGGTGTCCCTCTTGTGCCGCTTCCATGAGCGGAGTATTAGCGCCGGCCTCGATATCGGCGCCCGCTTTGATCAGAAAGTCGGCCACATCTAGAAAGCCGCCACAACAGGCCAACGTTAGGGCCGTTTCTTGAGTTTCTTCGGTTTGAGCGTTGATGTCTGCGCCTTGACTTAGAAGTAAGGCTACCATCTCTTCGTGTCCCTCGCGGGCCGCTTCCATCAGCGGTGTGTATCCCTCGTCATTCACCTCTTCAATGTTAGCGCCTCTTTCCAGCAAAAGCATCGCCAACTCCACGTGTCCGCCACACGCGGCCAGTGTTAGCGGCGACTCGAAGCTGTCGGCGGGCATATTCACCTGCGCTCCCGAGTCCAGCAGAAGACGGGCCACTTCCACGTGTCCGTCCATCGAGGCCTCCATGAGTGCGGTATGCATTTCATCGGTCTTGTGTTCCTGATCGGCGCCCGCTTCCAACAGGAAGCGAACCATTTCCAGGTGTCCCTTATAACAGGCCAGTGTCAGCGCCGACTCCTTGTACTCGTTAGAGTGTGTGTTAATACTGGCGCCGTGTTCTACGAGAATAGTGGCCACATTCACGTGACCAGCACTCGCCGCCTCCATGAGAGGCGTGTGTCCGTTCTCGTTGTGGTCCTCGACGTTCGCACCGCTTTTGAGCAACAGTTTCACCACTTCTTCGTGACCACCGGCGCAGGCGAACATCAGAGGAGTGTTCCCTTGCGATGTCTGAGCGTTCACTTCGGCGTTGTATTTGATTAAGAGCTCCACAATATTGAAATGGCCCGCATTGGACGCGTCCATCAGAGGTGTGGTATCTTTGAGACCCCTGTCCTCGACGTTCGCGCGCGCGACCAGTAATTGTTTGGCCAATTCGTAGTGACCCGACGAACACGCGAACGACAGAAAGCTCTCACCTTCTTCTGTCACTTCGTTAACACTACACCTCTCGGACCGGTCGTCCATCAGACGGGACGAGCCCTCCATATTAGCTGTCAGTTCTTGGCTTTGATCCGATTTGTGCAACACATTGGCAGTCGATAGGGGAGCGATGGATGTGAGCTGAGAGTCGGTGATTCGCATTTTGGCGATGGCCTGCGCGGCCTCGTCCAGAGCGCAGTGGACATCACTCACAGCCAACGACGAGGCGATACGTCTCAAAACGTCCGCATCAATCAAATGCTTGTCTACAATCACAGAGTTATTAATACATGTGTTATCGCAAAACGAGATCAACATTCAGGTCATACCGGCTTCGAGTAGTGCCTCCAAGTTTGCTCTCGACTGGGCGTCCATTTCTGCCGGTTCTCCCAAATGAATGCCTGAATATATTAAACGTATTTAAATTGCGATAAAGACAACAAAAAGGACACATCAATCGTTTGTGCGATAAATACCTGCAACCAGTTTGGAGTCAGAGGTTTCGGCAGATAATAAAAATTTGGATGCGTTTGTGTCGACAATAGGCTCCTCGTCTAATGTGAACGATTCAACCTATTTATCGTTTTATACAAAACAAAATACAATCAAATTACAGATCGTTATCATTGATTGTCTAACAATTAAGTAATAAATTAATTATTGAGAGTTTAGCCAACCATTAAACCATTCAATACAAATTCTCTAAAATATATTTTATGCCATTTATTACAAACAATAACAACATTGAAATTCAGTTTTCCCGTTGGAAGTCATATACGCTCTCAACTAAAGCACACGCTTTTTATTAATGTAATTATTTCTATGACTATAACTATTACTATATTTATAAGCAATCATTGAAAAAACTATTCACATTTTTAGACATTTGTAAATCTCGTTTGTCTAACAATTCAATCGATATGTTTCTTTGCGGATAATTCTTGCACTAAAACAATCTAATGTCATATCAAATGAGATATTGACTAAATATGAAGACAATTAATTGCAAAAATGTAGATTTGATAATCAAAATGTTGTTTTGTAAATCAAAACAAAGCATCACGTGTAAAGTGTAGAGCCTATAACATTACAATAAATTGATTATTACTAAAATGTATGATTTACGTGGATTTGTGCCCATTCTTTTCAGTTTCCCATTCATTCACATTCTTATACTTATTCTTCAAATACTTGTTTGTGAGACAAAAACCACTCATAAAGCGTTAGTCAATACGCCTTTCAGTCAACATTCAGGAAGAGATTTCAATGGCTTTCCTATTGAATGTCATATCAATTGGTTTTTGCGAATATATTTCCATATTTTTTCGACCATTTGTTTCAGACAAAAATGCCGTCAAATATGAAACTAATCATTGATTGAAATGAAATCCAATTGAAAATAAAACAAAACTTCAATTAAAAATGCCAACAAATCTATGCAATTAAATCACATATAATTAAGTGGTTTATAAATAACATACAATTACAATGAGAGGCTAAACAAGTAAAAAATGATGACTTAAATATAGAGTCAATAATTGTTTCACAAAAAACACACTAAAAAAGATTGTAATCAATGAAACGAAATGTATATAAATTCGCTTCAAATACAATATACGAAACAACAAAATGTTAAAACATTTAAACACGAAAAACATGTGGCGATAAATAGTCCATAAGAGTCTACTGTTGTCTCTTTTCACTCCTCACACAATATTGTCTCTAATCTATTGCTAATCATTTCATTTCAATTTAATTCACGTTTTATTT